CTGTACCCCTAACTTCCTAGTCTACAGGAATGGTCTGGGATTGGTCAGGTTCCCCAGGACCTAAGTCTGCGTATTAGCTCAGGCCGCCTTAACAAGATACCCCAAAATGGGTGGCTTAAACAACACACACTTATTTTCTCACAGTTCTGCATGCTGGAAGTCCAAGATCAAGGTGCCAGCAGGGATGATTTCCAAAGAGACAGCCCTATGCCTTGTCACTTTGTCCTCCATGGTCTTCCCTTTGTGTGTGTGTTTGTACACAAAGAAAGAGGTCTCTGGTGTCCCTTTCTGTTCTTGTAAGGACACCGCTTCTATCAGATTAGGGCCTTATCCTTAGGACCTCATTGATTTGTAACTAGCTCCTGACAGGCCCTATTTCTAAATACAGTCACACTAGGGATTAAGGCTTCAACCTATGAGTTGGAGGGAGGGCGGAGGAATGACAAAATCCGGTCCACAACAGTGGATATCGTAAAGCTGGTGGGTCTGTTGTGCCTGGTCAGAAAGAGGCAGCCTCAGAGCCCAGAGCCAGCCAGTTCCGGCCCTCTGTCCTCCTTCAGCCTCTCCCATGAGGCTTAGCTGGAGCAATCCCCGATGCTACACGTGGCCACAGAGTACACACACAGGGCGTTTGTGCACTCACCGTCTATGCGGACACACCTACTGTGACAGTTATCGAAGGACACTTGGCTACAAATGTACTTTTCAATGCATGCTCTGTGTTAAACCACAGAATTCCTGTAAGCATTTCTTTAAAGGGAGCACGATAATCTTTCACATTAGAGGGCACTAGAGAGCCCCTGCAAGGGAAAGGGGCTACTGCAGTGTGTGGGTGCAGCTCATGGGTTGGGTCAGTTTGCATGTGTGAAAGCAGCTCTGCCCCAGCCACAGCTCAAAGGCTCGGCCCCGGGGTGAGTTGCAAGTGTGCCACCTAGCCTGGTCTGACTATAACTTTCCCGCAGCCCTCTCAACAGGAAAACCCAGCCAAAGACTTCCTTCCTGCACCTCTGCCCTGATTCCCTCCACTGTCCTTCTCCCCTAGGTGTGTCTCCCACAAACTTCTGGAACAGCGGTTCTCAACCTGTGGGTCGCGACCCTTGGGGGTCAAACGACCCTTTCACAGGGGTCACCTAAGACCATTGGAAAACAAAAAGATATTTACATTATGATTCATAACAGTAGCAAAATTATAGTTATAGAGTAGCAACGGAAATAATTTTATGGTTGGGAGTCACCACAACACGAGGAACTGTATTAAGGGGTCGCGGCAATAGGAAGGTTGGGAAGCGCTGTTCTGGAAGCAGCAGCTCTCCCAGCGGGTACAGTAGGCTTCAGGCCTGCTGCATACCCGACCTCTCCCGCTGCCCGGCAGAGCAGCCACCAGCTCTGCTCCCATCTGTGTCCTAAGGTAGGAAGACTATTGTGCAGTCATCCTGGAGGCAATGAAGTCCCTGGCAAGGTGGGCTGCATGTTATGCACACTGTGCATAGACCAGAAAAGGACATTCCATGGCACATACAAGGCAGTGGAATCCTGGTTCACAGATGAGGAAATAGAGGAGCTGAAGGAGATGGAACTTGGTCAAGGTCGCACCTGAGAAGTGACAGAGCTGGGATTCCATCCCTGGCTAGAGTAAAGGGAGTTTAGCAGGGCAGGTCAGAGAGGAAGTGTCGCTGCAGCCTCTTGGGGTGAGGTAGATGTCTGGTGGAGGGATCAGAGCAGAGGCAATTCTGGGAAAGGTCTAAGTCACAGAACAAAAGCACACAGTGGCCTCATCCCTAAGGCAGGGTGCAGAGTGGGTAATCGGGGGCTGATGCATGTGGGGAGGGGTATCTCATGATGAGAAAGGCCTGCTGCTGGTTGTGGAGAGCCGAAGGGGCTCATAGCTGAGCAGCACTCAGAGCAGCCACTAAGCTGTTGGACTGACTTCCCACCCACATGCCCATCCCTTCCCAGCCCAGTTCCAGGAAATGCCAGGGCCTGGAGGGCAGTTTCCTGACCTCTGGACTAAGTGTTCAATAATAGCAAGCACTGTGATCAAAGCCAACACCTCCAGCGTGACCTGGATTCAACTACTTCATTTCACCTCCTGCCACTTTGGAGCAGGGGCCATAGGAAGGTTTGGCTGCTAAAGAGTAGGGAAGAGAGATGAACAAGTTCCCTGAAGCCTTGTTAGGCCTCGAATTTCCTAGTCCCTGTCATTTGATTTAGGCATGTGATTCTCTACCACCCTGGACGTTTTTCAGGCACAGGGGATGAGTCAGTAAGAAGTAGGGAAACCAGGTCCTTCATAAGCCAAGGACAGTCCAATTGGAAGGGACCTGGAAGAGAGTCTCACATTCCTCCTGGTGTTTGGAGGCCTCTCTAGCATGGCTCTGTAACATCTGTGTGAAGCTTCCATGATGGGCTCTCTCACCAGCCCAAGCTAACATGACATTTTATGACAGGTCTATTAGAAACGATCTTCAAAATCGACTCCGTTGTGCTTCATAAAGTTATCGTTCCATTCTTTCTAGATTGTACCTCTTGACCACCATCACATCACTCAAGCCATTTATCCACAAGATACCCATTATCTCCCTCTGCAATTGTTGTTTCACTTTTATTTCCTATTTCATTTGAATGGCATTCAGATATTCAAGTCAGAAACTCGTGTGTCCATAAAAAGTCCTTCTCCTCGTTCACCATTTCACATCCAAGCAACTCCCAAGTTCCATCAAATATACCTTGCAAATGTTCTCAAACGTGTCCACCTTCTTGATTCAGCTGCCATTACCCTAATTCTGGCCGCCATTGCCTGCTGCTTCGATGACAGTTTGTACCTGTTTGCAGGTCTGATTCTCCCAATACCTGCTCCCTTCCAATCCTTCTCCACACTGTAGTCAGAACAAGCTTTGAAAAATGCAAATCTGATGTGCTCTCTCTTCTGTTGAAATTCCTCTAATGACCCTTTGGAGGAGGTCCAACATCTTATAAAAGTTATAATTCTATTACCATGCCTCATCTCTCACCACTTGGATCTCACACTGTAAGCCGTCAGACTTAACAGTATTATCATTGGGAACCTGTCCCGCTTTGTCTCACTTTCGAGCCCTTGCACAGATGATTCACACTGTGAAACTAGGAAGGAAGCAGGAACGGTCTTTGGAACCCCCGCAACTTCATGGAGACTCCCTTTGGAAAATTTTTCTTTTCAAATAATTTTAGTCTCACATATAAGTTGAATAAATGCTAAATAAAAGTCTCATGTACCTTTCGTCCATCAGTCGCCAACGATGGGATCTAACATACCACAGTACAAGTACCAAAACCAGGAAATTGGCATTGGAACAATAGAACAAGAGACTAATCTTATTTGGATTTAAACATTATTTACCAGCATTCATTTTTGTTATGTGAGTTTTCCACAGTTTATGTATCCATTTACTTGTTGAAGGACAGTTGGATTATTTCCAGATTTTTTTTGGCTATTAAAAATGGAGCTTCTAAGGGCCGGGCCAGCTGAGTGGCTCAGTTGGTTAAGAGCTCACTCAAGAGTGTGAGCTCTGAGCAACAGCGGTTTGATTCCGCGGCCCGAGCTGAGCTGCCGCTGAGCTGCCAACAGGTGGCAGGACAGCTTAAAAAAAAAAAATGAAGCTTCCAAATTGTGGTATTTGCATAGAATGGACCATTACTCAGCTTTAAAAAGGAAGGAAAAGGGCCGGCTGAGTGGCTCAGTTGGTTAAGAGCTCGCTCAAGAGTTTGAGCTCTGAGCAACAGCGGTTCGAGTCCAGCCCGAGCTGAGCAGC